CAGTAAATATATTTTGCTGTTTTTGTGATAGGTGGTTTGTCGGTATATTATATGAAACTGTACGATGTGGAACAAATTCTTTAGCACTTGGATTCATCGTACGTTGTCATATTTATGTCATTCGATGTTATCGTCATTTGTTGTTGATGTTTCTGCTGTTGTAACACTTTCGTATTCTGTTCTAGACGAAAGCCTGTATGATTTGAAGCTTTTTGTTCCAGAAAGCTGACCAACCTATTATAAATTGGATTTATTTGCTGTTTTTGCTGCGTGGTAATTTGGGTGTAAATGACATTTGTAATGTCTTTCAGCAGTGGGCATACAATATCATTTAAAATATAATTAATATTGAGAATTTCCGTGGCTTGGTTGTTGATTTTTATATTTGTATCATTAATTAGTTGAATAACTTCTGCTTGTTGTTTCAGAATTGTTTGTATGTTATTTTCTATTGAATCTAATTTTTTCATTAACTCATCATTATTGTTGTCATGAACCTTATTTAGAATTATTGGTTGAGTTGTTGTTGCGTTTCCGAACAGACGACGAGTTGTATCGCCAGTCCATATGTTTGAGTTCATTGTTTGTGTTGTTGGTGTCTGTCCTATTGCTTTCATTTGAATTTTTTTATTTTCACGTGTAGCGATTTTCTGTGGACAATTCGGATTACCCGCCATGTGATTGCCTTTACAATGTGCACAACAAACCGCATTTTGACATTCCGGATTAAAGCTGTGTTGCTGTCCACATTTGAAGCATATTGGTTTGTCCTTGTTAGGACATCTCACAGCAATATGATCATCATATTGTTGGCAGTTGTAACATCGAAGAATTCTAGTTGGTGGAACGTACGGTTCTATCATATACGCTGTATTGTTAGCGTCGTAAGATGTCGCTCTACGACGCTAACTTGTTTTTTCTTAAACTTATNTTCTATCGTATACGCTGTATTATCATCGTCAAGTAGTATGCGTTTACTCTGTAGTATTTCTGTTATTCTTTATTTGACGAAATGCGTATTCTCGGTATAGGTCGTCCACCTTTTAGAAACATACGTTCACCTTTAATTATCGTTTTATATCTAAGTTTGAGCTCCTCACAAAGATTTTCAACATTCCATTGCGTCGGAATGTTCAATGTCACTACCGAATATGAAGATGGAAATCTTCGAGGAATATCAATTGAATACATACTATTACAAATGGTTTCTGGCCAGTTCGATTTATCCAGTAGTGTCTCGAATTGTGTTGTCGTATTACAATAGAGTAGGCAGTGTTTATCGTTGTGCGAAGCTGACATTCGACCGTATGTTAANTTACAAATGGTTTCTGGCCAGTTCGATTTATCCAGTAGTGTCTCGAATTGTGTTGTCGTATTACAATAGAGTAGGTACTGTTTATCGTTGTGCGAAGCTGACATTCGACCGTATGTTAAATTTAACTTACATTTTCTATTTAAATCCTTGATAATGGTGACATCTTGAGCTGGATAATTATCATCGTTCAGCTTTATTCTAAAAGGGTGGGAATGATTCATGCGTTTGTTTTTGTTGTTTTCTATTATATGATTCATGCGTATGATTTTGATTTGGTACTTCGTTTGTTTGTTTACGAAATGTCCGATTATTGTTAAAATAAGATGAAGTTGTAGTTGTTTCTCCTTGAATTCCATAAGAACTGATGACGCTATTGTCTATCTGTTCAGTATTTCGACGCTTAGGTGTAAATGAAGGCTGTGGCGTAACTTCACCCTCGCTATGATCGTTTCGCCTTTTGCGAGTGTGACGATAAGGATATTTAAAATCATTTTCATTACCTTCTTTATTTGTTGTATTTTCTGTTGCTAAGCACATCGTCTGATTTGAATTGTTTTGATTGTAATGATTAATATCATCATTTTGTGTCATGCTGTTTCCCGTTTTACCCATAAGGTTTCTTGCGGGAGAACAACGAGTTGAGTTTGGATACTTAGTGGATCAGAGAAGAACTGGTACGAAAAGTACGTCTTATCTGTACTGAGGTATGTTGACTATGTTTTAACTAGACAAAATGAGTCTTGTTTAGAATGTTAATATTAAGATGTGTGATTTGTTTAGCAAAAAGATCACGAAGAATTAAATCATCTACAATTGAAAAAAGAAACGAAGAATGATTATTAATTTATATCTAATAAATTCATTATTTCGTTAATTAAGAACAAAATAAAATAATATACCTGTAAAATATTGAAGTATTTTTTCTGGAAAATTAACAAGTGATAAAGAATAAAATTGAGAATAATTGAAACTAAGAATACGTTTTATTGAATGTGATTCAACAGTAAGTCTTTTTATCTGATGTTGAATTCGCGATAAGATTTTTTCACAAATTCTTGAAATTTGTTTGTCTATTGAAATGATATGATCCAACGATGAATTGATGGTCATATCAAGATGATGAATATAAAGAGCATCAAATATTAATCGATTAAATCGTTCATTAACATCCACAAGTGAATAGAGAACATCAACCATATTCAATTTGTTGATAATCATGATTAATATTTCATTTGGTAAATCGAGTATATTGAGATGATTGTAGTTTGAAATGTTCATATCGAACAGATTATGTCTATTCAGGAAAATTTATATGTCTGCCAGTGGCGGATTCAGAAAATCTGTTATCCCACGGGATGAAAATTTCGTCCCATCCCTTCCAATTAGGAGCACTGGAATATATGTATAAAACAACAGAAAGAAATGAGCTGGGTGTGGGTGTGGGTGTCTTCTTATTACACCTACACTCCGTCCAAAAAATCCTATGCATAACAGAATAGATACTGATTCTTATGATTTTAAATAATCATACAGAATTTTTTGCCATCTGAAGAGATCCTTAAGCAAGATCGAAACCGGTCATGGTAGCTTGTCACACCTCTTTGATATTTATATAATTTTATTTTCGATTATGTTAGCTCTAATATGTATAATCTTCGTTTAGCGTTAGTGTGATCCATCACTAACGCTAACAGATTAGGTCGATTGTTGAAAAGCAAGAGTTGAGACTAGCAGATTGATTTGTCTTCCCGTTAAGAGATAGATTGATCTGATTTCAATTGATTTAGTCACATTTTTTTATTTTAAAAAAACATTAAAGAAGGGCGCACACATTTCTGTTTTTCTTAAACTCCTTCCGAATTCAATCTATTTTCATTTTTTAATTGAAAAATACATTAAAAAGCACTGAAACGATTTCAAAGCATAAAAACAAACAAAAAGACTAAAGCATATTAAAAGAAAACACAAAAAACAAACTTTATTTAATCATTAATTAATATCTAGTATTTATTCGTTTGAATTTCTATTTTCACCTCACACATATTGTTAATTCGTCGTTTATTTATTCATCACACCCACATCCACACCCATTGCTCGAAGCTATCGTATACCATACCTCGAGAAAATTTTCAACATGCACTTTAGATCTGGACGACATTGTTTTAATGGTGTCCTTAATCGTTGTTCTTAACGCTACTCCGTTGGTCCGACATTGCAAAGCGCTAAGTGCGGTGTTACCCAAGGTATTAGACACGGATATTATGTCGTCTTCGGTATCACTGTCATCACTCGAATCGGGATCCATCAGGAATTCAACCACGTACTTGAATCGATCAGGCCGATTCGAATTGCCCACGTCATTGTAGTAGAGCAACATTTGGAACCTGACTCTCGGTCTGTATTTCCGCGGTATTCCCTCAACCCACATTTTGATGGACGCGTCGATTACTTTCCAAAGACCGTAGTTACTTCGCAATCCGCGATTGAGTATCATGTCTTGTGGGAAAAGGTTAATGTCTACCATTTTACCACCCACCGATGTACCGATAATATGACCACAGTCGTCGCCTTGCTTACCTCTCCTTTTTATTATTCCACTTAAAGTTGTCGCGACACTAGTTTTTTCTCCCTTCCCAATGTCTTCTTTAATTATTTTCGCCTTTAACCACAGAGGTTTCAGTTTTTTATATCTGTTCGACAGGTTTTCTGTCATGGTTTCGGCTCCATCATCCACTTCTTGTGCTATCACCTCGATTATCGGATTGATATCGATGCCCGGATAATCCCCACGTGTCATTCGAAAGCACTTATTGATCCTGGTGGCGCTCACCTCCTTGTCGAGTGCTCTGGGGAGAGCCAATTGCACCGTCGGATACTCACGATCAGAATTGGAGTCGATGTCTATTTCAAAATCAATCATTTTCTTGACCAAATAACAAACGTTTGATTCTGTCCTACAACATAACGATAACAGTGATTTATAGTAATCTATATTGTGAAACACGGCCTAAAAGGAGCGTTGAAGTAGATAGAAGTAGAAGTTTCCACGGTCCGTGAAAGGCAAAGTACATAGTATAATCGAAAAAACTGATATACGCGTTGATGAATCTCTTCATTTACAGTATATAAGAAGCTCCACTGTTTCACATTTTAATCCCACGAACGTTCCGCTAAGAGTTTTGTTTTAAATGAATTGTACAACCGAGAAGTGTAAAACAAAAGTTTATATAGTGCGGTGGTGGAGCGATAAGTAATTACGCAATCTTTCATGATGTCAATGACAGCATGCCACCGAGGACAGGGGTAATTGAAAAAACAGATCGTTCTCTAGCAAAATTGACCTTAGTTTTGCAACTTTGCTTCGCTAGGCTCGTTTTGAAAACACTTCGGAAAGTTCTTTAACACGAGTTTGTGTCTCCCGACCATTCATCTGTGATTCTCAGTTGAAAAATTAGCAGTTTCCGGTAACGTTTCTCGAGAATGATTTAATTCAAACTTACCGGATTGGAACAATATCTGTATATTATCTCTGAAAAATAATGTTGTTGTCTCTTCTTTTTTTGGGATGAGAGTGCAATCGTGAGGGTGTTAAATATGTACCATGTGGCAAAATTACCCAGTGATTAATGCGAACGAACAATAAGCGCCACACGCGCCGAACAAGAGGAAGAGGAATAAGAACGAGGAAAAGAATTGCAACGTCATGATGATTCATGGGAAGATGTGTGTTCTAGGACGCAAACAACGATAGAGACAAATCAATGATATTAAAGTGTAAGAACGAAAAGAAAGCGTTCTTACTAAGTAGAATTGCCATATCGTCCGCATTTTGCAGAAAGTTTCTATTATATCGCTTTTCCCGTTGTTCCGCGTGTTCTTATAAACGTTTGTTACACATTAGAAATATTTTTTGAAATAAAATCCATTATTATTGAATAAATCGTTATGAATCATCATAACTAGTGATTCATATCAGTTTGGTAGAAGAACAGTTAACATTTGTTTCTACGGAAGAGAGGCTCCGGTCTCTTTTCTTACTACTGAGTTTCGCACGTGATTTACACAAAGGACCTCAAACTCATAGCAAAGTACAAAGTATAATTGAAAAAACTGATACACGCGTTGATGAATCTCTTCATTTACAGTATATAAGAAGCTCCACTGTTTCACATTTTAATCCCACGAACATTCCGTTAAGAATTTTTTTAAATTCCTCTACTGAAAGGTGGGTCTTACGCCGAAATGAGTTGTTACGATCGTTCATGTGTCCGTTCGTTCGCACAGTACAAAAAGTTGTTTCGTTGACCTCTTTGTAGGTACTCACCAAAAACGTTTGACCGAAAGTATTTGAGGTTGGGGAACACGATCCCGGTGTTACTTTTTCGAATTTTTTTTGCTTTTTTAGGGTTGAGAAAGACTTTTTTTACAATGTGATACTCCCAATAAGAGTTTATCTTCCGTGTATCACGTAGACTAAATTATAATATATCTTTGGGGAAAAGATATTTGCCTTCAAGTAATGAGAGTTCACTATAAAACGGCTTACCCGTATTTGCTGGACATAATTAGAATAAGTAAGGATTGGGGAAGGTAACAGATTGAGTAAAGGTTAATGTTATTTATAATAACATTAATAATAAGGATAATAATGTTTTATTAATAAGGATGGTAACTGTCGATGAAGATAATAAACAACAACTAAACTCTTTAAAGAGAGAGAGAAAATAAAACAAGGCGGCCAATGACCGACGGATCAAAGAGGACTAATATCATTGATATATTACAGTGACAAGTTTAGTATCAATGACCACCATCTATTGATGCTAACACCTCTCCCTTTCGAATAAGAAGAAAAATCGTAACACTTGCCCACTCTATTGGGTAAGCTGGATTATTAACAAAAAAAAAGATGAAAATTACTATTTTTGTTCATGCCGAATTGCGAAGTTGTTGTCGTCGAAGAACGTCAATGAAATAAGGTTATCTGGACGCTGTTTGTGCTTGGTGTTGTCAAATTAGATACTAATTGTATGATTAGCGACCGAAGATATTCGAGCAAATTTTATTCCGTGATGTTTTAATATGTTTTTTTATGTCATGGATNTTGTCCATGATTGAGAGAGAGAGCACGTATAAGTATATGTTGCTGTTGTTTTTCTTTAAGTTTCTCGTGCTGTTGTTTGTTTCGACGCGTAATAGCTGTTGAAGAACGGTGTTGAGATTGATGACACTTAACTTATTTGGCTTTGATAGCATCAAAATACTGAACAATCGTGGTATGAAGAATGTTGTTATATTGGTGTTGTAAATGTAGATGATCACGATGAAGATGTTCTGGAGTAATATGAAAGTTGATAAAAGAAAATTCAAGTCGACGCGATAATATTTGTAACTGTTGATTGTACAAATTGATGTTATTTAATAGTAAATCAATCGTTGGAAATCGAGATGATACTTTCAAACAAGGAAAGGTAGCAGCGATAGTAATTTTATCGACATGATCAATATGATGATGATGATTTAAACGTATCATATTCACGATTGCTTCGACTTGTTGTATTATTCGTAACACAGGCATCGAACGGACCGAATTTGTCCCAATGAAAAACAACACCCTTGTAGCGGATGATAAAATCGATGGTATTGATGGTGAATTAAGTACAGTTTGTGTACATAAGGTTTGGTTATATGTGTTCATCCATTGAAGACCCGATATTGATCGAGTGGTAATTTGATAATGCGGTGTTTTAATTGTGGACGGTAAATTGTTTCCATGACTATCAGACAAGATCAAGTATAAAGGTAGAGCAGTATATTCATGGTGAATAATCGAAGTGGAAGTAGATGTATCCATAGAGTTCCTTTCAAGAAAGTCAAATTTTTTACAAAAAGAAAAAATATATAGCATGGTGAGAGCACAAAGATCGTTAATTGAATGTGCGATTAATGATTCTCGAGTATGCTGATCTTGAGTTGTATTAAATGTGTATCTAATAGCCATTTTCAAGGACCACATAGACTGGCCGTTTTTATATGGCCGAATTGAATTAGGACGCATACAAGATATGAAATCCGATGTTGAATCCATATGATAAAGATCGTTATCTAGATCATCGGAATTGACGAGACAGACAAGAGAATCATCAGGTTTATCGTCATCTTGAACAGGATGATAACGATTAATACATTCAAACGTATGTGGATGGGCTTTGTTCCATTTATTAGTGAAGTTAATTCATAATATGAGATAGATCAAATAGAGAGAATGATGCAAAAGGTCGGAGTTCACTAATCACATCCCCCCAAGCCATAATTTTATTATATCGAGAAAACCTCGTATGACATAGTTGTTGTATTTGTTGAAATAACGGTGTTGATCGATGAGGAAGATGTTGTGCTTCAACGAGAATTACAACAGATATCTCTTCGTCACGAATGGCTTGTATTTGTATCAAGGCGGGAATAGATTTGGGTATATAGGAAGTAGACTTATCCGATGTAGTGGTAATAGTAAACAAATTTATAGTAGAAATGTTTTGGATGAGAGATTCGAGTAGAATAGAAGGGTGTGGGTGTGGGGTGTGGGTGTAGGGTGTGAGTGTGGGGTGTAGGTGTGGATGTTAGTGTAAGTGCGCTGAATTCCGGAACCGTTGGGAATTAGGCGGAATCCGTTTGAATTCCGTGTAATTCCGGAATTGAACCGGATGGGATAAACGGAATTCCGGGAATTAGATGGAATTGATTGACAGTGATTCCGGGAATTCCGGAATTGAACTGGAAGGGACAAGCGGAATTCCGGGAATTAGGTGGAATTGGTTCCGTGAGCGGAACTGGTTCCGGAATGTTCAACATAGCGGAATAGGATGTATTCTCACTTACATAATAAAAAAAAATGATATTTCTTATTGCTTTCAATATACTCGAATGTTTGCTGATAAAAATAATAGAAAACATGAGAAATAGATGGACTACGATGACACGTATGAGCTTTTTCAACATATAGAGCATGTGTACATGATTAATCATGGTATGTGTTATAAAGCATCTGATAGTGTTGATGATCATAGTCAGAAATTGTAAGCCCGTATAATTAGTCAAAATAAATATTTTAAACAAGTGGACATTGTTTTCATGATAGAAATATTTTTCTTCTCTCAGTTATTACATTGCATAATGTATGAGTTATTTTTAAAGATCATATATCGAATATCAAGAAGCATACTAGTTTTTTTTAATGTTTATGATTATGCATTGATTCTCAATTTGCTGATAATGAAAGATCTTGTACTACCCACGGAAAAAAAATCACACAAAACCGCGATGTGCTCGATAATAACCGCGTTTCAGAAAACCGTGGTTTGCATGTGAGGAACCGCGGTGCATACCAAAGTGTTAAGGAATGTTTAAGGATATTCGAGATGTCGTGCCCCACAAATTCTGGCAAATTTTACTTATATCACATACATAATATAAGAAATCTACAAAGACACCTTGTGGAAATGGAGCTCGGGAGAGTTTACTACACTGCCTCTCGAAGAGCGTCACACCTGAAACCTTCAAGGTACAGGTTATGTGCGGTACACCTGCTCTTATTGAGTCTAGTGTATTGAAAAAACCGCGGTTTGAAGCGGTTTTTGGATATAACGGTAGTCAGACCATTTACGCGTTCCAAAAAAACACCCAAAACCGCGTTGTTCGAAACCACGGTTTTTATCGGTTTTCAAAACCGCGGGATTCAGGCCATTTATGCCTTTCAAAAATACCGCCTGAAGGGTGTGGGTGTGGGCGGTGTTAGAGATACGCATAGATGGTCTGACTTTCGCTATTCGAAAATACTGGCCGAAACCGCGGTTTTTTGAAAAACATTTCTTCGTGGGTAGTGGTTGTTCTAAACGCTTCTACGGTTATACTTGGCTTTTTTTTGTAAATAACCAATTTGAATTTCAAAGAATTGAATTTAAATTTATATTACACCCCTACACATAATAGAAGCCCACTCCCTGGTTAGATTTCTTCGTTGGAAATCAAGGTTTACGTCATGAAAAATGAACTAAAAGCGATGAAAAATGAAAGGATGAATATTTCTCTATGAAATAACGCAAAAACTGGCATCAGGGCATGCTTGGTTACAAAATTATAGCTTGCGGAGCAGAGACACCACCCATAGGCTTCTACTCTGTAGGGTGATTTAAATTTAAATGTGACACCTCACTGGCGACGGCGGCGGTTCAGTCACGCGGCTTACTTCTCTAGTTATTCGGAGAATTTCTCGACACTTTCTGAGAAAAATTGACAACGTTTACTTTTTGTAATTTCGTTTTTTCTTTTGTTTAGTTCTTATGGCAGGTCTAGCAATGAGATTGAGTCACCAAATTATTTTTAATGCGATGCGAAGCAGAAGCATTTATGTAGTCCGTCGCGAGTTTTTTTAATTTTTTAATGCGATGCGAAGCAGAAGCATTTATGTTGTCCGTCCCGAGTTTTTTTTATTTTTTTTATTTTTACTTACTTGACGTACGCACGAAAAGTCGCCTTTTTTGTGTCGCGATGATCTCGAGAACCATAAATCGTAGAAAACTCGTTGAAACGCAAGATAGCAGTATCGAGATTGAACTGCTTACAGCTTTTTTCGAATCTAAAATCCGATGTTTCATTCGGTTACAAATATCATTCCAAAATGACGAAAATGAAAGAAATTTGTCAAGAGATAATTAAAGTGACGTCATGAACATATGTTAGCCACTATAGTCTATTCATTTACAGCTGATCTAAGATAATGAATCATGGAGATAATTAATCGATCAATCGAAATCGATCCTTAAGAATGTATCGCTAAGTAAGAATAGAGTTTTCTCAGTGATGAATTTCATCATGTCGACATAAATAGTATTCAAGATTTCTCTGAATTGAAAATTTTTCGTGAATATCTGATTCAAGCTTCGCATCGCATTTCGTATTCGAGTATAGCTTGAATACCATCTAGTTTTTCTTTGTTGTCCTCAATCATTTGTTCTCGTAGTTGTGCGTCGGCGAGTGGACCATCCAAATCGGTTCGTCAGATTTGATTTTTCTCTTTCGTCATTGAGTCTGAGCTGTTTTTGTGATATGAGCGTGCGTGTGCGTGATAGGAAGTCATCCTTAGCCATTTCACAGTCGTTTTAGGTGGTTCAGGATAGAATAGAAAACTCTTGAGAAGCAGCATTTGTTATATATGGAGGAGCTTTTCAAATGAGAAGAAACTTTTCTAATTTACTGTTATTAGTTATGAGTTATTACTATTAACCACCAATTGGTATCGTTAGGATGTGATTGTAGGCGTGTTTTTCCGTTTACATGGCATCCATACCCGTACTCTTTTCGTTCCCTGAAAATAGTTATATTTCAATGTCAAACATTCACAGAATCAGTAAAGTAGAGTGCTCCATTGTCAGCGTTATTATAGTGAATGAGAGACTTCTGAGTTCTTAAGGTAACTGTTTTCTTTTCTTTTCTTTTCTTTTCAGCTAGTTCTCGAGTGTTTGAATGAAAATAATACAATTTGTGACACATGAAGGAGAGCGACATTGAAAATAATTTTACAGTGTTTTCGATGTGAAATTGTGAGTCTGTATTATGATATGTGTGAATATGCCCAGAGGCCGAGGGAACGAGGAGAATGCAAACCCCCAATAATTGAAAATTTTCAATGTTTTCCATCATCAAGGGTAAATTTTCTATACTTTTTTCGCTTTTTATTGCTAAACTTTTTTGAAAATACCCCTTTACATCCCCCACTTCATCTTAGGTCCTTTGCGCGACCTCTGAGTATGCGTGTCGGTGTCGATGTGCGTATTCCTTTTATTGAAGGTACACACATATCCAATTCTGCTGCCGACATAAGGATGAGTTTTGAAAATTATTTATCCATCCTTCGGTGATTAATCACCAACTATAGTGTGACATTGTGTTGATTTTATGGAGATTTGGATTTAAAATAACGCTGCTATTGTGAAAGTTAGAAAAGCTACGTACAATATCTTGTTGTGCGTGTTGCCAGCTATAGGCTTTTATTTGACTAATTTTGCGAAAGTTGGAGATGAAATAGAACTATTATCATAAAAGTTAAAAATATTTTTCGCACACTCTCTTTCGTTAATAAAAAGTTACTGTATTCTATTTTATTGATTGTCAAAGCATTTAACATCAAAGTTGAAATTTTCGTATGATAGATAAAACAAAACAAATGTTGAATGCAAATCAAAAGCTACAATTGACACGATCGTAAGTAATTCTTCTTTGCAGCAACTCGGTTGTTTATATATATTCTAGAATGAACTCCGACACCGATCAAAATTCCTCAAGTAAATCTTTCTTTCGTAAGTTTCTCATGTTCATATGACTGTTTTCTACAGGGGGTGAAAAAAAGGTCTCATTGATCACTGTTAGAGAACCATTGCGGTTACCTACTGGACATCCTATACACGTCGGATTCCCTGAAGGTCTACGAGGTGGTGGTGGCGGTGGATTCGTTGGCCTCATTATTAGTTGGTAAGAGCAGTTTCCTTGAAATTCATGAAACCTCTAGCTTATTATTTGCAGCTGCCGCTTAATTTTCTGTAGCAACCTCTGCCGAAATGCAAGCTGGCTAATGTGTCAAAATAGTGAAAATTGTCCATATCCATGCAGAGGACTATGCCCTCAGGGAACCAGAGCTCCAGCACCTCCACCTACGCAGGATTTGCCTGTAACCGTTGCGCCCGCAGCAGTCTAAAATCTTATGTGACGAAGACATCACAATTCAGACAATCTCCATCGTTATACACGTTTTTCGCTTTCATTCAATAAACCTACATTCATTTCACTCACATATACATTTGGTAGCTTGTTGGCACCTAGCTTTCGATTTTTTATTTTTTCCTATATTATTTTGTCCTTAAATCAGTGTGGTTGAGAATGTGGATGTTTATCAATATTGCTGTTTTCCCATACTCATCCGCACCCACAAAATTCTTCGATTTCATTCATTGATTCAGATACGTATCGAGCGCTGTATTCACATGCTATTTCTCTATTTCCTATGACGCAGATAAATTAATTTGGCGTCGTGAGTACCTTGAGGGTGTGAGTGTGTGTGTATGGTGTAGGGCGTGATTTCAGAGAAGTGCACTTACACCCACACCCACACTCACACCCTAATAATGAATGGATCATCTTGACCTAAATGACTATGATCGACATGCCACTGGCGTAGATCATTATTGACTTATTTGGTTAACAGTCCTCTGATGTTAACACCACGAAGATTTGTGTGTCTCGAAAATGAAAAGACTCTTAAAATAATTGAATTAACTAAACTTGTTGAATTTTCCAAAGAAAGACTAAAATTATACAGATCAATAAACGTTTGTGCGATAATCTCGAATGGAATAGAATCAACTTCGTGAAAACCTGTAATTTCAAGATTTACAGTTCGCTTTTGCAATAATTCGCAGGTAAATGCATGATTGAGTGGCGTCATTAAGCAACTGAAACTAATTCGTAGATGGTCAAGATTCAGAGTCCGCTTGAAGTATATGAAATAGTTCGTATGTTCCATTCACGTAAGGATTTTTCAAATTAGATAAATGGAAAGCGATCGGTTGTATTGTTTGGCTATTAGCTAGAGAATTAATTGATGAAGTTTAATTATTTCAACAAATAAAATTGAAATGTGAAAATTTAACTTTTTATGAATTTTAAGAAGATGAAGATTTTCCCCGAAATTAAAAGAGAAAACAATATTCGAGTAAAAGTTTTGGATGAGACATAGTTATTAAGAACAATAAAATAATTCCTATGAAATCATTTTGACTTTTTATAGTACAATCTCCTTATTTTTGATGATGATTAAAAGTTCTCGAACTTAGCTTTGTAAAATCTTTCAATTAATGTGCTAGACGGCTAGCTGAAATATTCATCATTATTCATTTTTCAACAAAAACATACAATTCTATACTCCTAATCTACCTGCTTCTTTATTTTTCTCATGCCAGATATTTACGTGGTTCTGTGTCATTGTTTGAGCCAAGTGCGGGTGTTCGAATTCGTTGAAAGTATTGTACGATCAAATGAATATCAGTTAAATGGTGTTCGCCATATATTTCTAAAGCTTTCACTTCTCTTGTGTATTTCGAACCAATTAACATACCATTGGCGATTTTTGATGAAATGATAATGGACGGTAACTTGCAAGGAATTGTATGTATCACTATATCGTTGTTCTGCTTTTCGAGCGAACGTGTTACTTGCATCTGATTTGGCCACGTTGAAAGCAATGTGCCTATTTTAATATTGAAACTGTCAAAGTAATCAATAATGAATAAATGAATTTCTACGCATGTGGATGGTAAAATTCGACAGAGATTATGTCCAGTAACAAGATTTATATCTTCTGTACATAGATTTAATGCTAATCGTTGCAAGCATGGCATCGCACTCAGGATATCAGCTATTTTCATTAAAAGACCAAGATATATGTATAGCATTCATTTGAAAATCTTTCAGATGAACAAGAGGTGAAATATTTGGTGATGTCGATATTCCAAGATATGAAAGTGGGTCACAATTAATATGAAAACGATTAATATGTGGTACAAGTTGAAATATGACTCGAACTAGTTTGCCTATTTTTAAGTTTACTGTCAATTCTTTGATATTCGAATAACAAAACACTTCGTCATATATAGCTCGATTAAAAGTAAATCCAATTGAATCAGAATCGAATGATACGGTATTTCAATCGATCATTATTAGCAGCTAGAATCTTTCTCAGTGATCCTTCTCCATAATTTTCTCGAAGATTGATAAAATCAAGTTTGGCAAGATCCGGAAGATCTGCATTTTTGTCAAGAAATAAATATAACTGTTCATCATCAAAACTAACGAGTGATAATCTATGCAGTCATGGAAATATTAGAGAAATTCGCCGCACTGAAGATATTGGGATACGAGTAATATAATTTCATCGGGTAACATTTTGAACGTTGTAATATCATCCATTAGGAACGCTTGATTCCATAGTCAACACGACGGTTGTGAGTGTAAAAACTTAGAGTGTGGGTATGTTGATCTTTGTTTCGTTGGCACCTATACCCACATTCACACCATTTTTAAATTGCATTACTTAATAAATTTCCGAAAAATTCATTTTATTTATAATGCTCGACAAATATTTGCATTTAAAAATGTGGATAAATAAACAGACTAGATAATTCAATTGGTGTGGGATTGCGTGCATAAAAAGCAACACCAGAACTACAGACGAAATCTACTAATTAGGCTGAATTTATAGCGTCAAACGTCTACATTGTTAATAATTACTAGCAGCCAGGAATAATGTAGTTTTCCACTTTCTTTCGACTGAAATTGATGGTATAACCCTGGTTCTAAACCATGCACTCTTTATCCACTCACGGTTATCACAGTATATCTAAGTGGATTTTCCAGTGCATTTGGAGGAGATGCTCATAATAACCGAGCGTATGTCTAATGTAGTAGTACGATTGTGTTGAAAATTTTGATCAATTATTAACTCAACTAAATCACTTGGTATAACAAATATTTCAATGTGTTTTCTATTAATGAAACTATTTTTCGGGATGTCTCAAGAAAAATAATCGCGCATCTCGCACATCGTTGCTATGACCGAGAGAAAATAGATCACCGAATGTATACCTTTCGGGAATCGGATGTGTTGTCTTTTCCAGATATTTACATTGATACGGATAACTCTATCTTATTAAAAAGAATTTCTTCGCATGTACGTTCTATTTTTTTTATGAATAGAAAAACAGATAGAGTGAAGACAAGGAAAACATCACTACTTTCATCTATATTGACTTTGAAATCGACGGTAAGTTATAACGCCTCATACATTTTCTTTCAATCGAGACTATAGCTAGAACACATACAAGACTTTTATCATCAATCTATATTCAATCAAGTACCAGGCGTAAAGGTGAGCTAGATAAACAGTCACAGCCACTGAACATACCAGAGAGATATTCTATACACTCAAAAAACATATATCCGAACAAATATGTATTCAATAGTATTTCTCGACTTTTACGGTACAAGTGCTACAACGATGTTTTTCCTATTTTTCACAATAGAGTGATTTCATTGACTTTTCAAGCTATGCACACCAATGTGCAATGAAAAAATGATCCGATCGATGTTTTCACTCATTTAAAGATTACTTAGAAAACCGAAAATTTTATCGACTTGCTTATAGCACATCTAGATTTTCATTTGAACAAAATGTAACTTTCATAGATCCTTTATTATTTATATCAGTATTTTTCATACAAGAATATTCTGTCTTCTGTATTGAGCTTATAATCGATTAAGAGAGAGGTTATAACTTCTATTTTTTATTAAAACAGCAATAGATCATTTCAGGTATTGCTGCTGATAGGTGAACAAAAAATATTTTCATCAAGAATTGTTATCACCAAGAGAAAGAATGTGGGCACACAAATCAAACAGCAAACATACCACGCTTGCTATGATGCTAGTGTTGGTCCTGATTCTCTCTATACTCCGAATTCACCACGTATCTTCCTATACGATAGCGATGAACGATTATGATCTCTATGGCATCAAAATTGCTATGAATGATGGTTTGATGGTCTTCGTCGATAACCTGAATGCAGCCTGGTATACTGTACCAGTATTTCTTAATACTCAGATCATTTGTATCATCCATTTTAATGAGACAACGTGTAATTTTGTCTATAGTGTTGTTGTTCCAATCTCTAATATCAGTTCATTCGTTTATAATTGCATTGATTTACAAGGACGAAATGTTATCGGCTTATTCGAGAGCAACGCAACGTGCTCGTTTTATTTAAGCAATGAAAAAATTGTGTCCAACTATTCAACACAAAACAATTTTATCATTAGTATTAACGGAGACAATACGGCTATCTATGGTTTTGCTGATGATTTCTTATTCTATTACGAATTGAACTCAACATTTCAACTAACCGTTTGGCCAAACTCCTTAAACATTTCCCCACGGGCAGCAGATATCGGTGCCAATAACGATTATGCTGTTGTAGTTGGCTATTGTCAATTGGCATCAGCTTATGCAGTTGATTGTGGCTTCATCGTATCATTAAATAGATCCTTGTCTTGTCCTAATAGTACACATGCATTTTCTATGATTAATTCCAATCAATTTGCTTACTCCGATCCTCGCATCAGTCAATATCTCACGAATAGTCGCGATTATTCGGCGCGGACCGTTATGTCTGTGAGTATTGCCTGGCGCACTCGATTGGTCTTAATCGGTGTTCAATCATTCAATATGGTTTTGTTATATTCGTTGGATGATCCTATGAATCCGATCGGCACTCGTCAAAATGGAATTGAACTGATGGGCTTTGGTAAAACTGTGGCATGGTTAGATGATCAAGGTGAAAAGGCAGTGATTCTTGCCAATAGTTATACATATTCTACTTATCAATGGATCTCGTCGTTCGTGCATATTTATGATATTCAATCGGACGGATTCTCAGACAGCACACAACCGGTTCTTATCTATCCTAATAGCCAGCAAATTCTTTTTCAGTGGATGATACCACAGTTCATTCGTTTGGTTTGTTCATCACATGGTCACTTGGCCATTTTCGATGATTTGGGTATTCCAGCTATTATCTACTCGACACCATCGGGTACCTATCCGAACACAAATTCAACATATTTTACATCCAATACTGTCCCTTGTATTCTTGGCACCTATCGTAACTATACCGGAATTGAACTGTGTATACCATGTACCAATGGCACATACGCCTATTCAAATAGTTGTTCACCTTGTACATTGCCAGATTCATTTTGCCCATATGGAGCGGTAGAAGAAATTTCCTATTCAACATTCGAATCGATTGAACAGGATCAAGATTATCCTGAGTCACCTGAAAATACTGTTTTTGATGATATATTGATGCAAAACATGTTTAGTTTCAATACACAGTCCGGTCATTGTGCACTCGTCTCGCCCATAACCTGGGTACTTCTGGTCATTGGACTTGGAGTTATTCTAGCAGGTGGTATGTTTATTCATGAGGTCTTCTTTCCTGGCGTACACATAACACGCGATGGAACCAAGCAAATATTAAAAAAATGGACCTCATTGGCGAAGGAGAAGTATTTCAGTTTTGATTCACATTTTTTTGTCGATTCAACTAATACACATAGATATCCAACAAATGAATAAGTAGATAATTTAGAACTCACTCGAATATCTGTGTTATTATCGGTGCTGATTCAATTCTATTGGAAACTCTTAATTTCCGATACTATTTCTTCTACGAAGATATAAGTTCCTGTTTCACATTGGTCTCGATTGTGTAATTCTAAATGTCAGTTTTCATTTTCATTGAATTTTAACAAGTAGCTGTTTATCAGAAAGTAAATTATTTGAATTACTTCTGATTATTGAGATTTACTTGCACGATGTAGTGACTACTTAGTTTAGCTTGAAATTCACTAACTCATCGGCATAAACAGAAATGACTACATTTTTTTATCACCTTCTCTGCCATCAACGTGAATATTGGTGGTCTTCAATTAGGCCAGTAGCATTCGTTTTGCACTATCGATTCTGATAAGATCTGTTTAGTATAGTCGTGTACAATAAACCTGATAAAAAAAAAACACACAGCAAGCGGCGCAGATTAAGTACTCGACTATTGATAGTCAATTATACCTTAGTTACGGATAATAAATTGTCAAACAGTGACAAAATAAGAAAAATTATCGTATGTTTGTGGTTAAAACATGTGCCATAAGTGCAATCGTCATTTGTAAGAGTATTTTTTGTAGTATTGTATAAACGAGATACTTCTAAAATCTGAAATAGTGTTTAAAAATCCGTCAATTTTTTTTAATTTTCAACATTTTATCTTCTTTTTTTTCTCTTTAGCTATGGGCTGGTGGCCTTGGATCAGCAGCAGTTATTGTTATAGTCATTTCGGCCTACAGTTTTTCCAATCAATACTTGCATCAATATCCAATTCAACAAGTTACAAGTGACAGTTCATTTGCATGTGATGTCACATTGCGAAATGCAAAATTTAGTACAACAATGCAAATGACATCAAGTTCAAGTAATTCTACTAAACAAAATCAAGTCATCTTCAATATGCTGAACTCGCAATCAATTACGTTGAACGTTGATCTTATTCAAACAGCATTCATTTGTAATGATTCTCTTATCGTGCAACGCGTTGTTGGTTCTAAACTGACACTATTACCAATATCGGCATGTGAAACAAGTCATAACGGTAGTATACTATCGTTGGCCATTGCACTTCCAACACAAAAAGTTGGCATTCAACTCATATTGCCGGGATCAAGAACTGTTGGTGCCATTCGTTTGGGATTGAGTGGACCTTCGATGATCAGTACTGATAAAAGGTAAAGGGAATACATCAACAAGAAGAGATTCATACATGCATTTCAATTGCTTTTTGATATTTATTTGAAAAGGTCGACACTCCTAGAACTCAATTTTTCATCGGCTTTTGTTCCTCCTTCATCCGATGAAGCTCTTGCGCCATCTACTAGCTTCGCCATTGGATTAACTGCAATTGTTAATCAAACAGATCCATTGAATAGTGCCGATTGGCCGATTTTCAGTGCCATTTGGTCATCGTCGTTTGATGTCATAACCGATGAACTCTTTACTGTCGAAAATAGATACACTTTCTTTCAGCGAAGTCAAACCAATATTAGCATTACAATTCAAAAGTCGATATATTATGTGAACAATCAACAAGAACCAATTGCTCGGCAAACTGAAATTATATTTCACAATCTTCTCTTTACAATTGTCGTCTTGGAGTTATTCTGTCTGCTGTTTCTAATTAACAAATTATTGATTTCGCCTCTGTATCACAACATAAGTAGTCTTCTACATTATTTGTCGAAAAAAAATCGAGTTGATGCGAACGGAAACAAATTGCCCATGGCTATTATCGAGAAATTCAATCGTCCAATAATTAGAAAAGCAATTCCGTCGACAAAACCTCGTCATTGATATTCGACCATCAGTGTCAACGTCTCGGCTACTTCTCAGCAGTAACAATTAGTATGAGACAGAATCATTAAAAATGTTACCTTGTTCCACATATTTTTAATTCAATGCTAATTATTTGCTTCTCTTCCTTTTTGTATCATGAATGACTTGCTTAAAAGATGCTACTGCGTTCAATATTTTATGTCATAATTTACTCGTAATAAAACTAATACCTTTCTTATCGATACTCATGTCGTGAGCAGCTGACATTTCATAGTTGTAGATTATCTTTTTCTACGGCTATTCGACTATTGATAAGATTTGTTAAGTTTATGGCCATGATATTTTCAGTCTGTCTGGATTTATAGATTATAATACTATCAAGCACGAGTAGCTCACTGACGTATAACAGATAAATCGTTTTGTTACTCGTGGTAATAACAATACATGTGGCCTGTAAAATAGTTCACATCTATTAAAAGACACTCCTGAATTTCGATCACCGAACCTCTCAACCATAAAACATGTTCGTCACGAACAACGATGCTATCGAGTTTCTAATAGTTCTATAAGAATTTTTGTCTCTTCATCAATTTCTGAGATATGCTTTCAGTTAGTTGACATACTTATATACCAATTAATTGTATTTGAACATCGAATAAAATCATGGTTTCACTTCTTGGTATATTATTTTCAATCTTTATTGCTTACCTTGATTATGATCAATAAATATATAGGATACACTAGTATCTTCAAGCATAATATGCTGAAGAAATCTTCTTCTGGAGTTTATGGGTCTAGTTGTAAAAATCGTTAGCCAAACTCTTGGAAGTGAAAAGGTGGTTTGGTTTACACGTAGAATGACAAAGCAAGAAGTGAAACATTATATACTGGATTTTATTGGTAAGCTGAATAGCCAACATAAACCAGCTAATTATAAAATAATACAATTAAATATTAAAGCTGCATTAGATCAAAGCCTTTCATTAGGTGCCATCCAAATATATGGTAAAAGAAAGAATTTGATATTAAATAGTTAGGTTGAGAATTGTTTTTGAAACGAATCAGTAGTGACGGATTGATATTTCTCGATAAAACAGTTATCTATGCTATTATGTCTCCTCGTCGAAAGCTTGTGAGTCCCGGATATGAGAGGTGTCAGAAAATAGGTTGTTGACAATTGCTGTCTGCTAATTTTACGAATCAAAGAGGAAACATGCAAATTAGTTGTATAAAATAATTTAGTCGAAGAAAATTGAAGGGCGATTTAATTGCTCTCTAAACACAAAAAAAGAGTAGATCATCTTACAAGTTTGGAGGTTCTAAGTATCGCTTCATTAACAGAAGTCTCTTTTTCTTTAAAGAAACTCTATTTTTGGTTTTATTTTTTAATTAAACATAATCCTACTGATATTGCCACTATTTCCTGTTGATCTTCCTTCCTTATCATCTCATCTTTCTATGCTTCTTTTCTGAAATCATTTCACTATTTGACTTTTGTCTCTCCTTTGTAAGTATGTGTTGAATGCGAAGCAATGACGAGCCAAAGTTGTGGATTTCAGTAGTGAGGATGACTTATACTAGTCTTTAAAAGTTTGTCCTTACAACAATTTTTTGGATCGTTCCAAAACACTAAAGAGAGGAAACTCATTTCAATAATGTCTTGAATAGCCGAGTGACGGCTCTATTTAGAATAAGAATGATTGTGAATCGAAAACACCGCCTTCAATGATAACACGCGATAAAAAATAACTACCCTCTTTCAAGTGTATGGCGTTCTCGTGTCGAATTAGAACAAACATTCCAAACTATAGAGTGCGAGTGCCATAAATTTCCAATGTTGTTGTGTTGTGACTAATAACCATTTTTCACTCGCACTCAATTTTCTCTCTAAACGAAATTCATCAAGATTGAATCTTGTAATAGAATATATTTTCCGTTAGTAATAAATAAAATTGGTTAATGAATTATATAAAGTGTTAGTATGCAATAATATTTCAAAACTTTTTCTACTAAATTCTAGCTCGTTCAATTTTATAGCTAATGATTCATATTCAGACGTTCTCTTTATTTCCGGTAGAGATAACATTACATTAGATGAAAAATTGATGTTTTATGCCAGTATGAGCTGTAAGCTTATCTCGTAATAAAATATAATAATTATGTTATTCAAAGCCTTCATGCTAAATAGAAGCATTGCCGTGAAAGTCCTAAACTTTTGCGGTTCACTTTACAATAGTGTACTGCGTGATTGATATTTTTACTCACGATCACGATCACGCGTGATTCACTCGTGATCGTGATCGTGATCGTGGATTTAATGATCATGTAGTACACTGATTTAGCTATAAAAGAAAAATATTTTATTGATTGGTCGTGACATCTATGTAATATATTCTATTGGGTATAGTTAAAGGTTTCGACTTGAAAAGAATGGATTTCAACAGCGAAGTTCGATTGTTTTCTTTATATTTATTCTATGAAATTAGTTTGACGATGTAAAAGAACTTTAATTTGTTTTAAATTCTAGAATGTATTCCACTGATCCTCCTAAATTCAATAAAAGAGATTTAGCACGATTGATTATAGAAAAACCTATATCTATATCATATAAAAAACCAAAAAAAACAACGAATGCGTCAGCGTGTTGGTCTCAATTTAGTTTAATATATGTCAACAATGTTAAACAAGATTTTATCGTTTGCGATTGCTGTAAATCAATGCTGGTTTATAAACCAACAACAGGATCTGGTTGTATGTTGGCACATTCACGTTCTTGTCGAGTCAAAAAGAAAGATTCTGCTTCATCCGGTCAACAATCAAAAATCAATCATTATTACAATCATTCAACATTAAATGACAAAACAAAGGTGCCGAATAGGCATGCACTGAACCCGAACCTTCGGGTTCGTCGAGTTCGAGTTCGAGTTCGAGTTCGAGTTCGATTTCATTGTTCAAGTTCGGGTTCGGGTTCGGTGAGTATAAGATCGGCTCGGGCTCGGTTCGATGAGTCTGAGTTCGGCTCGGGCTCGGTTCGGTGGGTCTGAGTTCGGCTCGG